CCAACCTTCCTCCCTCCCCCCCTCCCCACCCTCCCCACCCCACCCCCCATCTCTCTGCTCTTTCCTTTCAATTCAATTATTGGATTGATTAAAATTGAACAAAATTATATTACATTAATTAATTTTGTAAAACAAATAAATTTTGAAAAATTAATATATTGAACTTTACGAAAATGGGATAATATGGTATTGTTTATTTGGAAAACTCAAGTTAATCACTGTTAACTAGTTTTATTTGAGTTTAAAATATACATAAACATCTAAAATATTTCTTATATTTTAATTATAATTTTTTTTTGTTAAAAACCATTAATCTTGTCAACATTAATCATAATATTTAACGATTTTACGAATACATTTATAATTGAATAATGATCGATGATTTCACATTATTACTATACAAATCCACTTAACCTAATGACTATATAAGCCAATGACCCTAAATGCACTGTTTAAACTAATTAAAGCATTTTGATTATAAGAGATATATGCTTATCTTTTGAATAATCTATTTTATATATTTAAATATCAATTTAGTTTTTATAGGATCTCTGTCAAATCATTGTAGTCTCTCAAGATAATTCTGAAACCCTTATATATCAATTAGAATTTGCAATAGGAGTTTTGAATGATAATAAATTAATAGAGATAAACCAAAATGGCATATATTTTTTGTTCTAGGAATTCATTTTTTTTCCTATATATTTTTTTCTATGAAAGTAATTCCTTTTTTTTGTAAATTATTATCTTAATCTCTAGATAAATCCTTGTAAGAATTTATGATAATACAATGAATATGATATCATATGACTATATTTACTAGTTTCTTAACTTATTATGCACTCCATAAATTTTGTACCCCTAATCATAATTAAAACCTCATGTCAATCCTAGCTATTTATATCATTTTGTTTATATTTTTTGAATTCCATGATCAAATTTCTCAAAAAGGAACTATCTTTTTTTTTACTTAATTGTGTAAAATATTGTATCATTTAATATATATTTTTTTTTATCAATAATAGCCTTAGTTTCCAATTGCACCCAAAAAAAAAATTCCAAGGAGCCCTTCAATTTTCATCAAATATAAGGAAGAAAGAAAACATGATTTTTACCAATATGACCAATATTTCTACTTCAACATTAATACTATCATCATTAATTGTATTGTCCTCATTGGCTACTTCCTTCCATATTTGATATTATCTTGTTTCTTGAGAAATCCTTTTCATTTATTTTACCTTCAAATTTGTACTCAGATGTGCCTTATAATTATTCCAACTCTCTTTAGTCTTGTCACTTTCATTTTCCATTAAAATTCATATAAAATGACATAACAAAGATGTGATTATACATTTGCAAAGTAGAAGTGAATTATTTGATTTTTAGTATGAACCTTACTATTATGAAAGTGTGCATTTATTATTTGTGGAATCTACTTTTTTAGCCATCTTAGGTGTTCAAGTGGTACACTTTAAGATAAGAAAGAGAAGAAGAATGACATTAATGTGTGACTTGTTATACAAACACCACATGGATTATTCAAAACCAATCAACTTTGTATGGGTAAATTTATATGTAAATATGTAAAATATATTAATACATACAAATCTGCAAATCATGACTAATGGTCTATTTATGTCTTACAAGAGCAACCTTACTCTTATCTCAAGAACAAACAAATAAACAAGCAATATATATAAACATATTTCATAATTTTGTATCAAAAAAGTTGGAGCAAAAATTAGTTTCAAATTTGATTTGGTCAATTTCAATTTAAAATACAAAGATGAAAATTGAATGTGAATATGATCAAGAAGCATATTCTAATAATTTGAGAAATATATCTCATCATGTAGAGAGAGAGGAGGCTAGTTTTGGCTCTTCATTTTACCATTGTTGACCATGACAATTTGGCTTTTGTTGAGGCCAACACATAATACTTGTACACAGCATGAAGATAAATCAAGGAAAAATCCCCATGGTAGCTATTTTTCATTTTTCATGGAAGTCTAATCATTGGTGGAATACAAAACAATCAATAAATTCTAATTGATTTAATTCAATATTTTTAGCACACAACTCACCAAATTTCATGAGACATCTGCTCTGAAATGGAGCAAAAAACATGGGAGGAGAGAAGACCATGTGAAGGCCACTTAATGTTATCTCAAGCAGTACAAACAAAGAGAATAGTTCTCATTCAGTACTCATCTTTTCATGACCTCCTCATGCTCTTCTGCATATGGTTGGCCAACTCTGTTTCCCATTGTAGTTTCCACTTCCTTTGACTTTATCCTCTGTTTTAGAGTGTTCAAATCGAATTTAAACTAAATCTGTTCGGTTCAAATCATTTCATCAATAGTTCAGTTTTGAAAACTATATTTTTATTATAGTCACCAATTCTTAGTCTTTAGTATTTTTCTCTTATACATTAAGATATACTTATCATTTTTTATTATAAAAGTTCTATGCAAAGAAAGGAATACACATAAGCTTTGACTCTAAACATAGAGAATTTACTTTTATGACTTGAATTTTAGTCTTTCAAGGAATCAAAGAAACAATCTTTGCATGCAATAGTAATACAATTTTCACTAACAAAATCATCTTCCTATTTGAGATATTTCATAACAAGTGCAAAAATCTCAGACTCTAAAAGAGCTTGCAGTCTCTTAATTACTGATCCTGAATTCATGGCAGCAACTTGAGATGACATTGAGCTGCTGAGTTGATCAAATATTTATGAGATGTTTTTAGCTCTAATCCATACTCTGTTTTCATTTTGTATGTGCAGCAATGATCAACTCTTGGAGTGCACTAATATTTACATGTTGACATCAGGAAACCTGAAGCCCTTCCCATATCCTAATCCTAGTCCATATCTTTTCTATATGTTGCAGATCACCATTCCATGCATAGTACTCGAAAAAATTCACCCACAGAGAGACACTATACACCACATTCATGCAATCAAGAAGAACAAACTGCAGATCCTGCAAAGGATGTAGTTATCATTCTGTGCACTGGAAATAGCTTGATACAATGTGCAGCAATAATATTGCAGTGAGGCATATTTTGGAGAGAACAATGCATCAATGGATCCCTTCCTCAGCAAGATTTGTATCTGCTGATTCATGCAATCATAATATGTTAGGTTAATTTGTTCCTGCAATATGGAAGGCATGTATACTTCAATTATGACTCTCTTATGGAAGGTCTAGTTGTCCTAGAGTCCAAATAAAGTTGGATGCCTGCTAAATGTATGGCTTTTGTCTACTAACAATAATAAATTTTATTGTCATGATATTAGTAGATATGGATGAATTATGTCGTAATTCATAAGAGAAAATATGTGAGCTAATCTGTAAGTGATTGGCAAATATATTACTGTTGACTTATGTTTGAATGAGATAAGTTATCCTATTAGATCAGATCAAAATAATAGTATCGGTTCATATGCTATTGGACATGGTGAACCTCATGTTATTTGATGAGGACACTACTAAGTTGAGCATCATAGGGCTTGGTTTTTGACTTTGTTATTTGATGAAGACATTATATATATATATATATATATATAATACCATGGTTTAACCTCATGTAGAAAATGAGAGAAGAGTTTAGTTAATCTATAAGGCCTTGATAGATAGATATACTACTATTAATATTATTTTTTTGTTCAATAGTCTAAGGTCAAACAAAAAATAATAGATTAATTATTTCATGGGATTATGTCATTCCATGATATAGTAAGCTCAATTCTTGGTTTGGTCAGGTCATCAAAAGTTGTGGAGGAAATGCTAAAGGAGCTGCATGTTGGGGCCTCAAGAACTGTTCTTGACTGTGATGTGGTTTTAGCAGGAAAAGCATGAGGGATCCAAATCCTCATGCAGTGGTGTCAGATCTGTGTGAGCCAATTCATATTGGATACCTCTCCCAATCTGCTGACCACAAATAAAAGAAGACTCAGATGAGTGCCGGTCTTGCTGCACAGAGAGACAGCAGAAAAGTCTCTTCCCATGTCACTGTGTAGCATCCACATTTAGGTGGACCATATGGCAGATAAAGGTCAAGAAGGATAGCTCACATGAAAGCCACAGTGTGATAGCTGACAAAAATGTTTTCATATGGTTATCACAACAATAATCTTTTTAAGAAATATAGACCTATTTGAGTTGATGCAATTTTTAATTTAAATTGATCACAAGTTCAATGGAATACCAATCAAACATGTTTAACAAACAAGCTTTTCTCTCTTTACTAGGTTCTAATTATATCAGATAAGCTTCTTCAAATTTGTGAGATATATGATTCATTTTGTTCAGAAATAAAAAGCACTTTGTGATTTGGAATTACACCTCTTTGCAGACATAATGTTAGTGAAAGGTTTGTGTTGTGAAGACAAAGAACTCTATACCAATAGAATTGATCCACAAGTGGATGACTATGTTTTTGGATTGTGTGTTGGCATTCAATCTTCACAAGCAGATGGGAAGAAGAAAAAGTTAGGTCTTAGATAAAGTCTAATGAGGAGGAAACAATTTGCTGCATTGATTGACAATCTCCAGAACATGGATAAAGCTCTGATGCAAGCACAGTGACAACAACAAAATGCAATGGAAATACTCCTTTTAATTTTCTTGTTTTCTTCAGACACATACATAAACTTTCCTATATGAGCTTGTCAGCTCCACATGGAGGAATAGGCAATTAATGGCCATGCAGCACAGGCACTTCCATATACCTGCTGAAAAGTAGGTTGAAAACAAAGCCACAGATCTGCCCACAACTTGTCCTTCTGCAACCCTCCTTGATGAAAAGAGCTGCTGACTGCAACAGATGCTGAGAAAGCTGTGTGATCCACATTCTTGTGCCCCAGAACATCTCTCTCTTTCTCTCTCTCTCACAGCAGTTCACAAGCCTCCTTTGATGAAAAGAACTGCTGGCTGTAACAAATACTGAGAAAAGTTGAGCACCTCTACATTTCCTTCAAATGGAAGCTCTCTAAGATTGGCATGCAAAAAAAATGCCCTTTTTTTTATTTGGTGCCTCTATTATTTTATAATATCCTAAATATCTATGAAACAGTTATCACCCACATCTTATGGATCGATTATTGATTCCACTCGATGAATTGGTCTATATATCGTGATGAGTTTAATTTGGGAAATAGATCGGGCTATACTACCGTGCCATCAAATTATATACCCAATAGAAATGATTATAAAAGAGAAGAAAAAAAATTTAAAATATTAGAAAAAATGATTATAAAAGATGGTTATATGGATAAAAATATTATGTGGATAAATATAAAATATTAGAAAAAATAAGACACCAAATAGAAAATCTGTAAAATCATCCTTGATTGAATGCAAAAAAAAAAAAAAGTAAATCTTAAGCTTTTTACTAATAAATATGAAAAAAAAAAAGAAGTGGTTAATGGAGAAAGAACATCATTATTATGCAATTAATGAAAAACTAGCCTTGCAAACTCTTTTTCCTACTTTTATGGGATTAATAATTTTACTAAAATAATAATTTCCCTCTCTCTTTCTCTCTCACATATAACTGTTATATGTATAAAAACTTTTATAGAGATAAGATCTGATCAGACTTCATTTTATGTAAAACTCATCCTTGATTTTGTTGGAGATAATAATGACATAAAATGGATATTAGTCAACTCTGACATGTAGAGAGACATGGATTCATCAGCAGCTGAATCAACTTAGCCCACAGGTAAGAAGAATTAGTTCATGGGTGACAAAGAAGAGCTGATCATATACTACACTGACACTGTCGCCAGAGAGCTGCTGCACCTTCGGGAGTCGTCGTCGTCGTCCTCTTCTCCCTGATCAATGCTTCCCGAATCATGGGGAGCTTCTCGTGGACCTTCTTCCAAATGTGGTTTACTGCACCATCAGAAGGAACTGGGCCGATGCCTCCCCCGTTGCCATCGCCATTGTCGTACTCGAACATAGGTTGCACCCGTGCCATGTTCCTGCGCAACCTGTCCTTCTGCTCCTCGTATACACCTCTCAAGTGGTTCACCAGCCACCCTGCTCTCAGTGCATCTCTGGCTGACACAAACACCGAGAAGTCCGAGTAGTCCAGCGTGCCTTCGAACGGAAGCTCGATGCTGTCGCTGACGATGACCGGTATGCAGAGGCTCACGATGGCGTCGAAGAGCCGGCATGAAGCAGGTGTGTCACCGGCAGGGTGCAAACAGAAGTCCGACCTCCTCATCCCCCCGGTCGATTGCTCCAGGCCTGTTGCGTCGGGGGAGCCCTCCTCCATGATCACGTCCGGCTCATCGGCCAGCAACTCCCACAGCTTCTCACGTATCAGTCCTCCCTGGATGAAACAAAGGTCAGAGCTTAATCCGAAAGCATCATTCTCTGAGCAGTAGATCGACACAGACCCGATGCCGGTGTTTTGCTCCTCTGAAGTAGAGGAGAGTACGGCGACGCTGGTCCTGCGACAAGTGCAGTCTGGGGAGCAAATGGGTGTAAGGGACGATGACGTCCTTCAACGACGAGACCTCCGCGTGTTGCATGATCACATGCGAAGAGCTACCGTTTGATGCTTTGGAGTCGAACCTGCACCGTCCATCAAAATCCAGCACGAGAAATATGGCTGCTGCAATCTCGCTTCTTACGTGCCACATCGCGACAGGATCTATCGGATGATGTTTCAGGCGTTAGCTTCTCCGAGATGCTTGGAGGACTCAAACCATATCAAAAACAGAGCAACTTTATCTAACAGAGGAGTGAAAGCAAAACAGGGGCTGCTTCCTCTCGTGCTTATATGCTTACGGTGAGTACATCAGTAAGCTTTTGCTTAGGAGATTGCTCCTCACCGGCCATAACAAAGACATGATCTCGCCCACCCGACCTCCTCCACGCCTCCGAACTCTTGATCCGATCCACCACCTCTCGCTGCCTCCCGTAGTCCTCGTTCCGTTCCCTCTTCCTGAACCTTCCCTTCCTGCCCCAGCCAAGCTCCATCTGTGCACTCAGCGACGAGAAGAAAGGCACGAACACGACATCGGCATCGTCCGACTCGTACACCCTCTCCGCGAACGACGCGGCCCTCGACGCCTCCGGCGTCTCGAGGTCTCCCAGGAGCCAGTACTCGGCGCTGTGTTGCTTGAGGAGAGGACTCTCCGGGTAGGGTGGAAACGCATCCTTTTCGGTGCTGTTGGCGAGCGTGGAACGTAGGCGAGCATCGAGGTCGACGCCGATGCGGGAGTCGGGGCCGGAGAGGGACCAGAACCGGTCGAGCAGGCCGTAGTTGAAGGATCTGGGGAGGTCTGCGACGAAGACCCTGAGGCGATGGGGAGAAGGAGATCGTGGAGGGGAGTGGGGTGTGGACTTGGAGGACAACAGGACGAGAGGGAGGAGAGGGAGGAGGGAGAGAACGGAGAAGGCAAGGAGGAAGAGGAGGAGGGGGATGGACGGCTTCATGGCTTTGGCTCCTGCACCGAGCCCGTCAAGCACAAGATCACCATTGATGTATTCTAACATCGACTGTTGACTTGGATGTCGTGATCTTCGAGAGAGAGATTCCATGGGTTCGAATAGAGAAAGAGCAGCTGTCTCAAGTGGACTTCCTGAGGCGATAAAGAAGGAGGATCATGTGATTGCTGCTCGTTGGCACAGAAAACGATGTCATCCATGTTAGCCATTCTCAGTAGGATATTGGCTCAAGTAGATATTTTATGTTGCTATTTCGCATAGAAAATGTTCCTTCTCTAATGTTGTTGTCGATTGTGATGTGCCTACTAAGAAAAATAATAATAATGATTTTAAAATGTATCTTAAATTTAAGTTTGATATTTTTTTAATAAATATAAAAAAAATAAATAAATATCGGATCGAGATTTGAATCCGAGAGCCCAATAATAAAAGACACAATTGGTATTAAAATAAATCTAATATTTAAATATAATGAATGAGTACAAGACAGACAAAGCACATTTGAATGCCATACCATATTAGGTGTATGTATGAAGTCAAAACACTATTCAAAATGCTCATTGATTAGGAAAATAAATAAATAATTAAATTTATTAAGCTACTGTCAGTCTACAAAATGACCTGTGAAAGTCATTCATTATACAGGAGATTTGAGAGTTGAAGAGGGAAAAGAATCTTCCCATGAACTACAAATTTTCTCTACTCCAGATTTCTTGGTAGTCCAATTGACTGTTTGATTGCATTGCAGTAAATTGTAGGAGACCAATTGCTAGAAAGAGCCTCATTTCTTATTTTTCAGATGAATTGCTGCTGCTGATACTAGTTTTTTCCTTTCTCTAAAGATTTCTTTCTCTTAGGGTTTGTATTCAAAAGTGAAGTTTAGATTTAGTTGCCATAGTTTCCATAATTGGGATGACAAAGAACATGTGAAGAGTCAGTAATCAATAGGTTCAATAGGAATATGGAATCTAATAAGTTGATAAATAGTGGGTAATCTTTTTTTTTTTTGGGAGAAGTTTCCAATAGAATACTTATATTCTAAGGATTATTGGAATATGCTAAAGATGTGCAATCTCTATAAACACCTTTTGTTGTCTTTCCTCTTCTTACATATCCACTTATCATCACAAGGACATTATAAAATCTCTATAGTTTTAATGGTAGAAACCTATTAAGGCATGAACAGATCTAATAGCAACTGGGTATTCCAGTTATTAGATTGGCTTAGCTGGTCAATCTTCAGTTATGTAGTCAAATTATTCACATTTATGTGAGTAAAAATTCTATTTAAAGATAAATCTAGAAACCATACCCATTATCAATTTGTAAGAAAAAGACCCTCTTTAAAATGAGATAGCTTTGAGTAAAAATATTCTGATGAAAGAATATAATTGTGTTAACATAAACCATGGAATTTTACAAACTATCATCATTATTAAGATACTAAGAGATTTTAGGAGCTTAGAGAGTAGATTTAAAAGAGAAAATAAATGTCTAGGATATTAAGACTTGTATAATCTGTTAAGACAGTGACAATGTCTTAGTTTGCTAAATACGATATTTTATTATTGGGAGAATTTTGTCAATAAAATTTTTTATCATCTATAAACATCAAATGATTAATCCTACAGTTGACTCCAAAACAGAGCAAGGTAAGTTTACCATTATTAGTAGTTTTATTTAAGGGATAATAGTTGGGCTACTAAGATGTAAAGATGGGAGGATAAAGAGTCTCATAGTTTAACTCTATGAAATGGAAGTAGATATCTTATCATTTATTAAGTAAGCAAAATTTGATGAGTAGATACAAATTCTTAACCATTCAATGAATTTATAAGAAAATTTCATAGCCGAGAGAATTTGGAAGATAATACCACAAAACAACCTATCAAAATCTTTTTTAAGATAAATTTAATTATAATAAAAGACTTCCCAGATGAACAAGATGGTGCATTGATCAAAATTGTTGATCATAAGTACATCAAAAGTATGATGGAGCACGCACCATGATGCACTGATTAATCTTAAAAGATGTCCGGATGAAAGCGTCCTGGAATCGATCTGCTATGCTGAGCCTCTTTCAGATGCATTTTGAGTGCAAAGTTGTTCACCTGCCAAACAAGACAGCATATGATGATTTTTCAGTAAGGAGAGGAACATCAAGGGATCTCAATAGCTAGTCTGATGATACCTCAAGAGTCCTTAGTAGCTCTTGATATTGGGAGACCAGCTGGTTCAGATGCTGTGACTCTCGGCATATTTCATCATAATTTTTCTGCCGATCATGCTGCATTGCCACTGCACGCTTCAGAAGATTGTTCTCTCCGAGCAACACTCGAGTTTTTTCCTTCATCGTTGTATTTTCCTATTTCATATATCCAAGAAAGATGTGATAAAGCAAAAAAGAATTGTCTCTTGGGAAATAAGTTCAGACAGCTAAAAGTTTCTCCCTTCAAATAATGGACATTGGTACTTTTAACAAGTGACCATTGTGAACTTGCCGTTCCCCCCAATTATGGGCTAAAAATCATTAGAGATAACCTTAGGATACCTTGTGGAGACTCTTCATGGCTTCAGCACCAGCACGAGCTGTAATTGACTTCTCCAGGACCCCTAGCATTTGGGAAGCACGAGACCTTGCATCATTCATGTCAGAGGCATTCATCATCCCTCTCACAAACAGATCAACCCATTCAGAATTATCTCTTGGAGGATGCTCTTCAGCCGGTTGAATTGGAGCAGTTGCATCCTTGCAATCATTCGTAATACCTGCAAAATGCCCAGACATGACAAAGAATGTGAAAGTGTTTCATGATTAAGGAGATTCAGCCGATGTAGCTCAGTTGGTTCATAAGAAATTACTGCAATTTTATTTTTTAAGCTCAAACCATGCAAGAAGAAAATGATTGAACAAAAAAAAAACCAAAAATTATGTCATGAGAGCAACCAAATCTCTTTTGTACTCATTGTAACCATCAGCTTTTCATAAATATCAGACTCTATTCATCGTTCGCAAATACTACTATTGTAGACAGAATACTAAGAGACTGTAACACGCAAGATACCAATTCTATGATAAAGAGCTCACACATGACGTGGTGCTACGAAACTAGAGAAAAGCAGATGTTGTCTCGAGATGTCCCAGATTAAAAAAAAAAAGTTAATTAAAACAAGCAAACCAGTTAAAAGTGAGCAAAGTTATGTGATGATATATATTATAGCAGTAAAATTGCAACAAATCTATTGCTTGTCTACCAAATATCAGCCATAATACAGCATATCAGATTTTGATAGATAATACCAATAGACTAACACATGAGGTGGAGCTTTATTCTCAAATGCTGCCCACTTTAAGAAATTATGTTAAAGTGCTCTTTATCCAACATATTAATATTTCTCGAACCAAGAAAAGGTAAAATGTTCCACAAAAACGTTCCTGAATTACTTGCAGCTTTGACAGTTTAATTTCAAATCGTACACCATATTCGAGAAAAAAATGGTCAAATTGCAAATGAGAATTGCTGTGTTAATGAACCAAACATGATTTAGAATAATTTAAATCTTCGATAAGACATGCATAGGTACATTAAGGAAATGATAAGACAATGAATAACCTATAAATATACACAACTAAATTGTCCTAAAAAAACAAGTAACTTCAAGTAAATGAGAAAAATGATAGTGGAATGCTGTATACCTTCAGCTGAAACCTGAGGTTTTGTTTCAAGTACAGCTTCAGTTTTGCTTTGTGCAGACATCAGATTTATCTCTGTTGACTCTAACCGAAGAGCATTCAAGCACTTCACAGCAGAAGCCAAATCATGTCCAGACTCTTCAAGTGCCCGTTGAAGAAGCTGGAAAGTTTATTGTTGTTTATTAGCTTACATGTGCAAGATATGCACCTAACCATGAGTCTCATGAATTGCACAGAGAATTCTAAGGAAAGTTGGCGATGAGACACACTACTGTTTGTTTGACGAAAAATACCAGAATTATCTACCAATTACGGAACTGAATGTAAACACAACAAGCTAATAGCACCATATCATCCCGGTTTTCCAAACAATAATATCATAAAAATCCAATCTGTTACATCGATTGTTGAAATCCTCTCTTAAGTATAAAAAAGCATTGAAAAGCGAGGACAGACAAACCGAACCTGCGGATCCATTTCAGGGAACAGAAACCTCAGGTGCGCGATATGAGCAGCAACCTGGTGGATGTCTACGCCACTCCCGCTGTCGTTCCCGTCAAAACATGGGGTGGACAGAGCGGGCGAAGGACGGAGGGCGGGAGTGGTGGGGGAGGCGGCTCCAGCGAAACAGCAGCGGGCTCTCTTAGAGACCGATGGCGGAGGGGTGTGAGCGAGCTCCTCGAAGATGGAAGAAGACCTCTTGCCGCAGACTAGGGCAGACATGATGGTGCCGACGACGCCTGGGCACTGAGGTCCTCGGGGCCGATCGCTACTGCAGCCGTCGATGGGGAAGTGAAGGGTTTCGAATTCGAGGATGTGAGCATATATAGGAGAGCGGCTCAAGCAAGAAAGAGCCGTTACCTCAATCAACGGCGGATCAGGTCACATTCGATTCTCGGATGATTGCCACGTGACAGTCCGAGTCGCCTCATGCAAACCGCAACATATGGACTCCGGTCTTGCCATGTAGGTGAAAAGGCATGCATAAGACCGATAACGTTATCTCATTTTTACAAGGATAAAACAATTATTTTCGTGGAATTAAAAATAGAGTCGCAAATAATAGTGAATGGGTGATAAATATCAATTAATTTACTTCATAGATAATTGATAGAAGAAATATTCACCACATTTAGGGCTCAAATAAGCAAGAATATAAAAGACAAATATCAAGAGAATATTTCAATCTATTTCACTATTTTTTTGATTAATTTATTAGAATAAAGATCGATAAAATTATTTATATTTGTTGACTAATAACTTAAACATAAAAAAAGACCTGCTAATAAATCTCAATTATTTGCTTTATAATTTTGTTTTAGTATAGTACTTGTGAAAAAGGAAAGGACAAAACAAACATTTGTGCAAACAAACATTTGTGGACAGAATATATTTTAATTTCTCACTCTCATAAACAGTGATAAGCAAAATTTGAGAACATTATTCGTCATAGCTCAAAGAAAATTTAGAGAAACTAACTTATATTGATTCACATGATTCTTCTGATTCCTGTGACATTCGCAAATACACATGCCCAAATACAAGTAATAAGAAAAGCATCCTTGCTCGAGACACCGAGTTTGGCACACACAAAAACATTATATCAGATGACATTATATTCTTGACAGAAGATAAGAATTCCTTTCAAATCAGTGAAGTGATAACATCCCTGGCTGGTATCATAATCTTGAGCTTGATCGAAGGGAAGAACTCAATAGGACCTTCCCAATGGCCAAGCAGATGTCACTCCAAAAACACTTCTCTCAAGATCTTTTATATATATATATTTGTGCTTGCAGATTAAAGTTAAGAGGATGGACAAATACAAGTCATTAGCCATGTATTGTATTCAAGATGAAACCTGGAAAAAGCTGCAGTACAAAGTGTTGGCAGCCCCAGAAAACACCAGTTTGGATGTTCCATAAGGAAGTTCTGCATTTTATATTTACACTGGATAAAGCTTCGTGTTCTGGAACTTTTATTTCATAAAAAAACACCTCTAGGGAGGGAACATCTTCGCAAGAAAAGAAACTCACTAAAAATAATGTGTGACTTGAATATAACTCTCTCGCTCTGTGGTCAGTGATAACTGATAAGTGCTACTTCTTCAATATACCCAGCTGTTCTAGAGCAAATTGGATTTCATTAGCACCACAACTGTCGATCTGAAGAATATTAGGGCTGTCAAAGGCCACAACATCTTTAAGCAGATAGCTTCTAGTTGAATGAAGCTCGCTTTGGGCTGTATTAAATCCACCATTCAGTATTACAGTTTTGTGCACTCCACCAAGTAATTCTTCATAATCTGTATCACCACTTTGACCAACAAATACTACCATATTTGAGACCTCTATGCCCCAGCGGACAAATAAATACCTGCAGATGATAATTCGGTAGATGATCATTGGAGTAGCATGTATGAAAATTTCTACACTGTGGAATGTAATTGAGATACCATGAAGGGAAGCATAGTGAAACAATTTTTGGACAGAGAGCATAATAAGACAGGATGTCTGTTTATCTTTGAAAAATAATCATATATCTGGCAGTAGTCACGTGAAAACACTTTTTTATATGTTAAATAGTTGCAAATTCAAACCCACATCACTGGCAAGTGTTTATTCGCTGTGTTACTGCTAGCCCTGTTGACAATTGAACGGAAGATTCATTTATTCTGTCAGCAATTTTAGCTTTAAGATACATTTGATAGTGGTATCCAAAACATGCGTCTCTAGACTCTAATAAAGCATAAACTAACCCAATTTATCTATGTTGGCTCCTGTCAATACGAGATTAGGGAGGGTCAATGTGTGCGTTCTTATTTCTCTGTTTAGAAAGCTATTTCCAAGACTCGAACGATGGTCTCTCAGCTTGCAATGGAGCAACCCTAGTTCCAAGACCTACCATTATGTAGAAAGAAAACCTACTACACTAAAATAAATTAAAGGTTAAATGACAATAACTGTAGATATCTTGGTTCCATATACTTTTCATGCTTATGCCACAGAATTGAATGTGGGCTCCATTTTTTATCTACTCATGACACACAACTGAATTTGCAATGTGCCCTTTCTTTCACATTCTAGGAAAGAACATTACATTGTTAAAAAATATATATAAACCTTGCAGACTAAATGTTTTAAAAGATTTCTTAATGAAAAAGATGTGATATTGCTTCTCACTGAAACAACTGTCAACAGTTAACAAACAATTCTGCAAATAATAACCAAGTAATTGCTAACACTAACTTTGATGATTAGTAAAATGACTAACAGGAATAAAATATCAAAGATATAGTTGATAATTAGTAAAAAGGAGTCCAACTAGTGGCATCATCAGCATTTCATTTATACCTTAGTGCCTGTGACCGAGAAGCTAGTACAGGAATGACATGTAGCTTGCTACCATCATGGCTGTAAAGGACATGACAGCGAAGTGCCTGGATTCTCATCTGTTTCCGAAGCTCTTTTACAGGAGGAACCTATCAAAATTTACAATCCTTCACAATAAAATTATGGATAACTTTACAAAATGATTATTGTTTAATGTATGTGGCTTTTAAAAAAAATTGAATGAAATTTCTATTACAATGTAAAAGATACTGACACGTGGATTCAAACCCAAGACCTATTATTTGTGTAACAATGAACTAACGATTAGATGTCTCAACAGAGAGTAATTCATGTATGTGCCAACAACATATGATATAGAACTACTATCACAAGATGTGCTCTTTGTAAAACTAGGCATATGAACAGTGCACCAAAGCACTGTTCTTTCTTTTTTGAATTCACATTCTTCCCTTAGAGTTGACTTCTTCTTTCCATACTCTGACCATCTGCTTTTTTCCATCTAAACTTATTCATCTTGAGTTTCGAATTTTCTTTTGGGTTAAAATAATAGAAAGGCTACGGCAAGTTATATTTCCAACTGATGGTTAAATAGCAAGAAGTTACTATGATTTTAATTCAATTGTCAAATTGTTGGTTTCCAACAGTAGATGTGAAAGTCTAACTTGAAAAGTTACACCGTGCTTGAAAAGTAAACATGGGACGCACTCTTTTTAAATGGAGAAAAGGAAAAATAGAATATTACCAGAGATGAATTCTTCACTTGAAATGCATGGCAATATGTCGAAGAGTGTTCCAAGTCTTCAACAACAACTTGCTCTTCAATTTCTCCTTTCTTGTCAGTAACTGAAGAAGCCCAACGAACTAAAGTCTTTCTCAACCCTTCTCCCCCCCAACGATACTCAATTTGTGAATGATAATCTATGTCAAGGGCAAAAGGAAGCTCGGAAGGGTAAAGCAGCTCATCAGAATTTGAAGACGGATAATAGAGATCACTGCCACTATTGCATATAAAAGCATCAAAATCAGTAGGAACAATGCCGCCGTTTGTCAGAAGAGAATGTATCTCTGATATTGTTAATCGGGTTGACAATATAAATCCTATGAGACCAGACATCCTATACCCACTTGAAGCCTCGAAAGTACTTTTGATGATTGCAATAAGATCTGCATCACTAACTGAGTCCACAGCAATCACCAAAATATACTTCCTCCTCCTCAACATTGGCATCTTACTTGAATTATGATCAATTCTCTCACTGGACCTGATCTTATGTTGTTCAACATCCTTCGATAATTTCACAACTGCATTAACATAATGATTACTGTTTCCATTAGCAGCAACATCTCCAGAACCTAAGGCATTGTCCACAGTATCATCTTTGCCCTTTTCACCATCTAATGAAAGCTTTAAGTTTAAAGATATGTCTTGGATATCTCTCAGGGAATCATTTGGTGAATCTGGTTCGGAATCTTCAGGCCCATCTCCGCTCCTTCGCCACTGAGGATGCCTTGGTCTGCAAGAAGTGATTTTTGACAGATAAGTCTTGCAATGTTCTGGCCAGGAAAATTGATGAATATTCTTCAGTCCATTTTGCCGACACCGTGCCCAGAGCTGCTTGTCAGAAACAAGCTTGTAAAGTGCATCAGCAATTGCTTGCTGATCATGGGGATCAACAAGAATACCATTGTCAAGAACCTGAAGCACAATTTTTCATGGATGATGGGCGATTCACTCCACTTATACCAATACATACTCATGAAAGAGAAATTAGAGCTAAATGTATAAAGATTTCTTCCCCTATAAACATTAGAATATGCATCCAATGAACAAACCTTATGTATATCAACAGGTCCTCCATTTTTTGTAGCCACAATAGGTAGACCATTCGCTGAAGCCTAATCCACCAAAATATGGTGATATATGAATGGATATAAGAAAAAATAATATTAAAGAAACAAAAGCACTAAAAACTAACCTCAATCAAGGTAAGGCCAAATGGTTCAATGAAAGCTGGATTGATGAAAACACCCTACAAAAGGCACAAACCAGTAGGTCTACACATTTCAAAAATATGCCATGCAACAGAATCTCAGGACTCTAGTAGTTTGGGGTTAACTAGAACTAGAACACTGAAAAAGCAAGAAACCTTTATGGGAAAAGACTATGTCACATATGATTCAATACCAGGCCTTTGTCATGTTATGTAGGCAAAGAGTGTTAAGAAACACGATAATTTTGATAATGCTTAAGATGGAAAAATACCTTTGTCTTTGCTGCCAAACGGTAAATGTCAGGAACATCAGACTGCCTGTGATGCTTCGGATATGCCACTTGGCCATACAGATCATACTTGTCAATTAACTTTAATATGGAAGTTAAAACTGATGAATTTGTACTTGACATCTCATCAATGTCATCACGGTTACCCATTATAAGTGTCTGTAACAGAAATGTCACATTAAAAAGGTCACAAGAATACAAACATGAAATTCTTAGCGACTCTTAGGAAACAAGTGGCAACATGAATGGAGATGAGAAGAGTTCAAAATTCTACATACGAGATTTGCAAGCTCTCTTAGCGGGCGGCATTCACCAAATGCTTTGACAAGAGTAGTAATATTCTTTTTAGGATCCGGTCTTGAAAGTGCAAGAATCATAGGCTTGCGAGGGTTTGTAAAGAACCGCATTATCTGCCAAAGTAAAAGAACAACACATTTTGAAAGTTAGTAACACCAAACTTTAATGATAAATTTCAAATTTCAAAGATACAAGGATATTACTGTCAGCATTCTGAAAAATTATCAAACAGTACACTATAATAAAAAATCAATAACAGAGTTCAAAATAAATATGAGACCTCAGACCAAATAGGTGGATCAGGGAATGCTAAATTATCATCATTTCCTTCTGGATCGCCGTCAGGATCAACATCATGTGCAGCAATATGTTTGAACTCCATACCTGGAGGAATAACCTGGCAAATAACTTATACATGTCACTATTCAGAATCATATAATAAATTGTAACTAGATTCAATAAACAGAAAATCTGATTCTAGCTCTAGGTTCATGGCAGTGAAAAATTAGAACAAATTCTTCATAAGAAAATCTACACTATATTTCTCAAAGAAAGAAATGAAGTGATGCAATATACTTACAACCATGCGAGGCATATAACGGCCATAACAGCTTACACCACGCTTGATTCTAGCTCGCAACTTTCGTTCAAGTATCACATCGAAACCATCATATAAGCGCCATTGCTCTTCTATCTCTTGTCTGGTGCTTGTGATAACAATTTCAGAGGCATCAAGTGCTAGCTCCTCAGCTTCAATCCTACGCGTTATTTTGTATGTTGCATTTATTTCTTCCCTTGTTTGTCGCCCTTGTTTCAAAAGTTGTTCTAATTTATCTCTGCCAAGAGAATGGCCTGTGAATAGCATAGGAACATTTAACACCCCAGACAGTAAAGCAGCAGAATCACCAGCATCAGCATAATGCCCATGAATAGCAACAGGCCATACTGGCTGCCCACCACCAATTTGCTCCCCTAGAACTCGTGACATCTGCATAACATGGCTGAGTGCACCATCAACAAACTCTTGGATGTGTGGCCAGAGATGTTCTTTAGGAATATATTTATCCTTTGGTCCAAATGGAATGCGGATGATATAAGCCCCACTGCTCTCTCCTGTCTCATGTATAAAATTTTCTGAGCTTCTTGGAGTTAACATTTCTGTAGGTTCCCCATAACTCCAGTCAACCTCTGGTGCTAATATTTGCCTGGTGAGCAAATCAACTCTATAAACACCAGGCATCGAACCCAATGCCCTTGCAAGTTCTACAACATATTTAACCTAACATACCATATCAAAGATTGTGTTAATGCACTTATTATAGTTAGGAAAATTTAACGTAAGATTTGTGTAAATCAGTGCACATAGCCACATAGTCAAGCAATCATGGTTCAGCTGGCATGTCACAAGACTGCACAGATGCCATGGCATGGCACGGCAAGCTCATAAAGATAAAGTACGGTATGTGGGTGCCAGCAGCCCACAAATACAAGCACTGTTCCGATACTTGTTCATACTTCTGAATTACAAAGAAACAGGAACAAGAAACATCAACACATCTTCCTATCTAAAAACTGAAAGTAGTTCATATTAATGCATTGAAAGGATCCTTATATATCACTATAAGAACTAAGATGAAACTCTTTGTGTACCTGACCACCAGTATCGGAATCACGACCAAGTTCCATATTTTCCCCACGTATCAGACCATGAATGCTGCATACCAGAAGTTCTTCCTCAGAAATGATTACTATTATTATTATTTATATAATATATTTTGTTTAAATTTGGTACACTAGTAAACAACCATAAAAAAATAGACCTTTTTACTTTCAGACACTTCATGTGCACAATCATGCATGGGTGTGTGCATATATATATATATATATATATATATATATATATATATATATATATATTGGTAACTGTTAGAAGAAGCAAGATTAATATCTATGCATTAGACTAAGAAATCTGTGAAAAACATAAGGTTTATGTATGTGCTAACATATATTCCAAAAATTAAAAAAAATGCAAAATCGATGCAATTCCACTTGAAAAGAGAAAAACTTGAAAAACAGATGTTCATTCCACACACATTATTTTCCTACATGCGTAATGCGATGCTTCATGCAACCATCAGTGGAAACAAATAAGAAAAAAGAAAAATCGGGTTCTTTATCTTCCAAATTTTGGATGAGTACTTGACAAACCTATATGATTTTCAAGCTCCTCTTACCACCAGCAATCATATCAAGGCTCACAGCATTGTGTTATGCACTACAAGTGCTATCTATATGCTAATGGTCACAGATACATAGAAAGCTGAGCATTAAGTTATGTCTGTCATGATAATTTTCTATGTGAATAAGTGTTCACAAATAGCAGATTAACAAATAAAAATAGCATAAAAATGACCTAGAATACAGTAAACAAATCTTTTGGATTATGTATATGGTCCTATATATCCATACCTTATCAATACTATATATAACTTCTTATCCTTGTACTGACTAGCCCAGGCCTCAATAGCATCAAGAGAACTAATTCTGAGCATCCTACCCTTGGTACTGTCACCATGAGCAGATAGATCATTTATAATGTCTCCTTTTTCTCCTTCAGAGAGGTCTTCGGACATATCAGCAGTTGCATCACGGCGAGCTCTTTCACGCTCAAGTCGACGTTTAGATATACCTTGTGCTTCCTCACCCTCAATCTGCACTTGTAGCCCAAAATGAAACAGTAAGGATGCCAGAACATAATAATAAACATGACCACTCAAATATACATGAGAAACTCTGGCCATGATATTCACACTATATAACATTACAAATATTTTCCCAGGCGTTACTCCAAAGGAAATTACAGGGTATTCCAGCAGGATGTTGTCATGAGAAGACCGCTTGTTCCATGTTACATTTTTTTAAACTCCAGTAACCAGAAAAAAGCAGAAATGATATATCAGCTTCTTTCAAATACCAATTATTTGACTTAGAATGGGTATGTCCATCTGACAAATCTATATAATCACTTAGAATTGTCATGGTTATTAAGAAAAAACTAAAAGAAAACAGTGAGAAAATCCGGACTAAGTTCTATATGATAAAACCACAATACTATCTTGCAAAGTTTGGGGCATCCATGTTGAAAATTACATCCATGAAATGCTCTAGTAGTCTCTGGTCGCTACTTGAAGTAGCCCAAAGCTATAAGAAACATCAATAGCTCAATCTAATTAATCTTAAAGCACATCTAGAGACCATCATAAACTTACAATCTTAATGAAGCCCTTGGAATTTGAGATAGCTTTCTTCCACAATATTCAATAGTAAAATTTGTTCTCTTGAATTGTCAGTCTATCACCTTACATTTATTCATGATTGTCCATTTCCATGAATAAGACACGAATCTCGTTGCAGTTAGATACTATTTTTAAATAGTAAACTGAAAGTAGTGAATCATATAGATGCAATATTTTCCATATTTTTTTTATATTATTAGTAATTCATTTGGCAAAAACAAGCATATTTCTAGAAGGGCCAATGGAGAAGGCTCAAAACAGGGCACATATTTCTCCCGCTTTTAATTGCTCAGTAGGTAGGTGGTGCAGACCCCGCTCTTGGTTCCACCATTCATTAACCGAAGATTATTCTGAGTGTTCCACTAATATGAATTTTCCATCTAGATTTAAGCATTTCTAGAAGGGATCAGTACTTTTATAAACGGGCATCAACTCCAATCAAAACAATGTTGTCTTATCGGAGCTACGGAGACCAACCACTCCAGCAACCGAAGACACACTAAACAACAGATAAGAAGGCATAAGTCAAAGTCTCTGAGACACCGGATCACTAGGAAAAGACAAAACAGGCGCCTACACGAAGTCCGCAGTCTCGGTAGGAAAAGGAAATCCTACGACACTCATATCGAACTCCTCTTCGACACAGTAGCGCCCGAAAATTCCCAAGTTCACAGGAAAGATCAACGAATTAATCACGGATGACCAATTAGGTCAACTAAAAACCCGACTTGAGATGAAAAATAATTCAGACCTCGATCTTCTCCCTCAAATCCAACCACTTCATAACGATACTACCCTCTACTCACTCAAGATAAATGAAATCCGGCATAAACTTCAACGAAAGAGAAAGCGGATAATATAAATGACAAGGAAAAGATACCTGCTTCTTCTTGCGGGCCAAATTCCAGATCCTCCAGCACATGTTCTCCAGCCTCGTGTTCCTCTCCTGCGGGCTCCTCATGGCCGCAGCCTGTCCACAGCAAAATCACCCCCCAAACACAAAAAGAACAGATCAAAAGAGAAGTTCAAGTACAGGGTCACCTCAACCTGGGAACAAGCAACAATAAACTCGACCAGAACATTACCCGAACCCAAGTCTTGTAGAGATCAGTCTCGTCGAAGCCGGTGATGACCTCCTCGACGAAGTAGCGGGTGGGGCTGAAGCGGCCCCTCTCCCGCAGCAGCAGGGAGGCCTTGGCGGCGTCGATGGAGGGCCCGGCGTCCAGAATCGCCTCCAAGTAGCTATTGATCCAGTCGTTCCCCGCCATGATCGAAGCAAGGAGGAAGCAGAGGGACAGCAGAGATTCCTCGCCCGCTCTCTCGCGCTCCCCAGGCTTCTCTCCCCCGCGGGTATTTATACCCGCGCTCGAGCACAGAGCGAGCGGTGCGGTGTCGTAAGAAGCAAACCGAGAGACGGGGAGAAGACGGTTCCCGTAAACGATTCCATGTGGGGACCGCAGGAACATCGTATGCGTAAAACATCTCGTTAGATAGTTAAACATTTGCTATAAGATTCGTAAACTTTTAGAATCTAACGGCGATGCTCTTATGCTTATATTTTAATGGTCATAAGTAGCATGACACTTAGGTTTTAATAGAAAATAATAAATGTAGCATAATAAATAATAAAGAATTGGGGGTGGGAAAGGGAGAAGACATATTCCTAGAATAATGCTTGGGTATGCTCATGATTTGATTTGCAATGGGGGGGGGCATTTTGCCCTCCTCTTACTACTTTGACTTTAACTTGATTATAAATTATCTAAAAGAGATAATATTAAATGTTTGTTTTTGTATAATTAATTTCATATCAAAGTTAGTACTTGGTGGACTTGGATTATTGTGATGATTAGTGTTGTTCAATTGGTTCATGTGAATTGTGATTGTGGCCTCTACCATGGATGATCAATTCCACAACCAAGGAATTATCCCTTGCACAAATAATAGAGGAGAGAAAGGAATCCAAAAACCACTGTGGCAATATTCTTTAAATCTTAATTTATTCACTTTTTTGATGAAAAATATTTTCTTTCTCTTTTGAAAGGCAAAGTGTGTGGAGGCCTAGAAAACATTGTCCCTCTTGTTTGAATGGGGACAAGAGAGATGAGAGGAATCTAATGCTGTGTTGTGCATGGGAGAACAGATTAATGGCATATTAAACTGAGCACTTTTATTAGGGCCCCACCAATTGATCAAATATGCTTACTGGAATCTATTACAGCTGGTCTCTGTCATCACCCCCTTCACTATGAGTTCTTGGATAAATTTCTAGACAAATCTTTTTCTTTTTTTTTTTACTTTTCCCAAAATTATTCTCATTTTTTATATTTCTAATAAAATATCCTCTTGACGATAAAAATTAAATAGTAATTTATAAAAAATATTTTCTCTACTAGCTAATAGTGCATATTTGATTAGGGTTAATTATCGATACTTCGGACTATCCGAACATACTCGAAAAAATATTATTAGTTATACTTTATGGAGTGATCCTCTCTATTTATAATGTTTTTGAATAGATTTACACTATTTTGATGGAGACATCAAAAATATTATAATTAAAATAAAATTTTCCTTACTTAGGTTATTATTATTTCTAAATTAATAAAAATACATATTTAAAATTCTAATTTTGGATATGAGTTAGATTTCATGTAGTTTGAGTTCATTTGCCTCAATTACATTATTTTTAAATAAATCTATAATATTTTGATGAAGGTATAAATATATTTATTTATTTATTTAAATATTATAACTAGTATTGTAAATCATATGCATACAAAATTAGACTTGTCCATAGGGTGTATCCAAGTATTACTTTAATTTTGTTGTCATAAAATATTTCTAGGATTACCATAAATAGAAGACATCCTTTATTATTTTTATCTGAAAGTATTCTTTTATCTTATCTTTTCTTTAAATAGAATGAGTTAAATGCAATGGGATGTTATCATACTAATATTTACTGTATGCAGTACATATATATCCAGCTTAATTTAGTGATTTTTTATATTTTTACTATTTAGGTTTAACAATATTGATAGCAAAACTATAATCCAATGAATCCCACAATCATCAATGATTGTCACAATTTAAAATGCACATCATTTTACCATTTGCTTGATCCATGAATAATCCAAAATTAAGCTTAAAATAGTACAAGATTAAGTAAGAGAAAAAAAAATAATGTTCTTTTTTTTCAATGAATAAAAAATAATCATGGGCAGAAGAACACTTATTTG